CCCCCCCCCGCCGCTCAGGAACCTTCCAGAGGCGCGGTTCCAAAAGGCGGGCGGACTGGGGTCTCCCGACCAGGTTGCCGTCCGCCCGGGTGGGCTCCAAGAGTGGGGAGAGAGCGTGGGTGGGGAAGGAAACCGGCCTGGCCGCGCTGGTTCGGTCCCGGGGGCACGCACCTGCCCGGTGACCTTGAACGATTCCGCTTGGCCGGGGGTCTCGGTAAAACTCACGCTTTAGGGTGCCCCGGAAGTGTGCCTTGGATTTAAGGATTTCGGGACTTAATGCCAAAGATGTCAGAGTGAAAGAATCCTACAGCCCCCCAGGAGTTTGTGTAGCCCCCGAAGACGATCCAAAGAAACATTCTATGAAGGAACGTTTAACAGTGAGGACAGTCATACATAACTTTAAATCTCTCTGTGAATCTTTTTAGTGGGTAAGTGTGACTTAAATGAGAGTGGTTCCTGAGAATGAAAAGGTCAAGAATAGGAAATGGGATTCAGTAATGTCAAAAGCCTATTTGTAGTTCATTTTGAACTTACAGACTTATAGAAATTTACACCAATTACCTCATGTACAGACAAGAAATTATGAGGTAGGTTCTCCGAGGTTTTTATGGCAACATGACAGAAGTCAGAAGACATGCTGGCAGGAGGCAGCTGAAAGGGTTAGAAGACTTACCGAGCCAAGTAATCTGTTGTGAACACCTCCCTCCAAGAGCTACCAAGAATGGCAAGACTTAGGCAAAAGAAAGGTAGGGGCCTGTCTAGACTATGAAAAAATTCACAGAATTATAAATTAATGATATAACTTAGTGATGGGGAAATGCGAGGGGCCATAAGTGAGCAATTTATTTGTCTTCAATTTGGTTATTGCGACTTGATGGTTGGTGGTACTCAGAATAATTCAATTACCTTCACTGAGCGTTTTTTTTTTTTTTCTTTTTTTAAATCTGTGGAATAATAATTTCTACTTTATAGAGTTGTGAGAGGACTAAGTGAAGTAATGCATTTACTAGATTTCCTTGAGAATAAGTAATTGTCACTCTCTACTTCTCACACCTGAGCACGCACAACACAGACGCACATGTTGGTTGCCCTACTTGACACCTTACATACCTTACATGCCGACAAAGTTTGTAATGCCTGCACCTGTCTTCTGCCCTGCCTACCAGTAATGTGTGTATAGTTCATTTTGCTTAAATTTAAAATGAAAATATTATAAAATACTTGTCTTAACTTGGGCTGTTTTAACAAAATACTATAGACTGGATAGCTAAAACAACAGAAATTTATTTCTCATAGTTCTGGAGGCTGGAAATCCAAGATCAGGATGTCAGTGTGGTGAGGTTCTGACAAAGGCCCTCTTCCTGCCTTGCAGAAGGCTTTGTTTTTGCTGTATCTTCCCATGGTGGAGAGAGGAAGCTCTGGAGAGTGTCTTCTTCTTCTTATACAGGTACTAATCCCATCATAGGGGCTCTACCTTCATGACTTCTTCTAAACCTAATTATCTCCTGAAGGCCCTACTTCCTAGTACCATCACATTGGGGATTAGGGCTTCAATGTATGAATGGGGGAATACCACAGACATTAAGTCCATAACAGTATTTCATAGACTTCGTGGCATGTGGAAAGTGTGCTGACCTGGGAGTCGAAAACAACTCCGAACTCATCTGCCACCCTCCCTCTCCCTCTCCCTCTCCCTCCCTCTCCCTCTCCCTCCCCCTCTCCTTCTCCCTCTCCAGGTGGTCTGCTTGTACCTGCAGGCTGCCTAAGCTTTCCACCATGAGTAGAAGCAGCATGAGGCCCATGCCAGATGCAGCTGTCCCACAATCATGAGCCAAATAAACCTCTGTTCTTTATAAATTACCCAGTTTCAGGTATTCTGTTATAGCAATGCAAAACGGACTAATACTGGGGAGGTACCAGATGCAGTAGTAACACAGGTCCTTAGTAGCAAGCAGCAAAAACCAATTTGGCTTACTGTAAGAAGAAAATAAATTTATTAAAATGGCATTTGGTAGCTGATGATATCTCCGGAACCGCCAGAGAATCAGACTTGGAAGTTAGGAACAATGAATGCCTTTAAAAGTTGTGGAGCTGGTCCTGCCCCAGTTGGGCTCCACTGGATGGTTTTTGGCATCCACACCACCCACACTGGGGCTGGGCTCTGCTCTGAACCCTGACACTGTTACCTCTGGCAATGGGGTGCTGTCACCTCTGTCTCCTTGCTACAATGGATTCCTTTGTAACCCCTGCCACTTAGCTTCACTGTCTCTTCATTAAAAGTCTGTTGTGGGGCCCGTCCGTGGCTCACTCGGGAGAGTGCGGTGCTGATAACACCAAGCCCATGGGTTCAGATCCTATATAGGGATGGCCGGTTTGCTCACTGGCTGAGCGTGGTGCTGGCAACACCAAGTCAAGGGTTAAGATCCCCTTACCGGTCATCTTTAACAAAAAAAAAAAAGGTCTGTTGTGAGTGGAACTGACTAGTGCAGTCTAGGTTATATCTCGGCTTCCTCCCTGCTGTAAAAGTAGGAAAACAAGTATCTGGTATTTTCAGCTTCTGCAGTGGGGAATAATCATATAGCAAGGGTTCCTGAGACACAGATGAGAGTTCAGATGCAGGACAGCCTATAAAATGCAAATGTCTGGGGCCGGCCCGGTGGCGCACTGGATAAGTGCGCCGCTTGGGAAGCGCGGCGGCGCTCCCGCCCGAGGGTTCGGATCCCACATACAGACCGGTTCCCGCTCACTGGCTGAGCGAGGCGCGGGAGCAGCACCGAGGGTTGCAATCCCGTTGCCGGTCCCCGGTCCGGTACGGGGGCAACACTGAGGGTTGCGATCCCGGACACGGAAAAAGACAAAAGACAAAAAGAAAAAAATGCAAATGTCTACGTCAAGCACACAATGGGGCAACTTAACAGCTGCAACCAACAGTCTAAGGGAGATCAGAGAAGAATTCCTGAAAGGGAAGTGAGCAAATGCCGAGGTTAAAAGATAAGAAGGTAAAGAGTTTCTATGGGAGGAGGGAACTGCATACACAAGAGTCTGAAGATGGAAGGGAAGCAAGTGAGGTGAGTTTCTATAGAAAAGGAGTGGGCAGAACTGGGATTTGAACCAAAGACTAGATGCCTCCGAAACCTGTTTTGGTAACTACAATGCTACATTACAAAATCTTGTTAGCTTTGTGATAAAGAAACAAAGCAAGGAAATACTTACTTCAATTTTTTCTTAAATTATATCTGTATTAGTCCATTTCTGTTGCTTATAACAAAATACCTGGAACTGGGTAATTTATAAAGAAAATGAAATATATTGCTTAAAGTTTCAGAGGCTGGGACATCCAAAGTGAGGGTCTTGGTGGTGACTTCAGTGACACAGGGTATCACACTGTGAAATGACAGAGCCGAGAGAGCAGAAACAAACTTTACCTCCTCATTCACTCTCTTTTTAAAGCCCTCCGAACCATGCCCGTGACCACCATTTTTAATCCATTCACCATGGCATGGACCTGGAATCTAATCACCTCTTCAAGGCACCATCTTTCAATTACTATAATAGGATTTCCCACCCTCAACAGTTACAGTGGG